TAAAATTATTGATCTGCATTTTACCAAAAGTCAGCCACTGTGCTAATCCATCATTCCTGACAGAGAAATAGCATCCTTGTAGCAGCCACCCTGCCCTGTTTTGAAGTTCATAAAGTGCATTTGAAACTCACAAAGAGAGCCTCCAACTCAGTGGTCCCTGGTTTCATGAAGCGGCTGCCAAGCCATTGCTATGTTTTTACTTCCTTGTCCTCTTTTGAAAGTTCTTTCCAAAGAACAACACAAGTTTACAAATGATCAGCTGCTGGTATTTTCAGATGTTTCCCTCATAACACATAAATGTACTCTTCAATCACGTGAATAAATCATAAGGCATCACCTAGAGGGGGTTGCCTCTGCAAAAGGTTTCTGGAGACTGCCGCCCAACCCTATAACTTTTGTGATGATGGGAATGTTCTCTATCCATGTCCTCCAGTGTTGTCACCACCAGCCACCTGAACATTTAAAATGTGGCTAGTTCAACTGAGGAACTGGATTCTTTTTTAAGATTTATTTATTTATGCATACAAGAACTGGGGTACAGGCCAGAGGTGTGGGGGGTGAGAGGATTCACCAGAGACAGAGTGGGGAAGAGAACAGGCAGATTGGCTGAAATACACTGCTGAGGGGAGCAGTGGGTGAGACAGGAGAGGTCTGCTGTGCCATGTGGTCTCCCTGGCTGGGATCGAACTCATGCTGCAGTGGCTGCGGATTGCTTCATAGTGCTGCATCTTAACCCCTTGTGCTACCAGGGAGGCTCTGGATTTTTAATTTTTATTAAACAAATATCTACCTGTGGTTAATGGCCACCATATCAGACCATGCAGCTATATGCAGCCATAACAAGCTGGTGAGCTTTTAAATTGACATTGGCCACCCATTTTCACCAGTAGTTGCTCTGGGTGTTTAAGAGTACCCTTGTTATTTCCTTGCCTGTTGGTCTTAAAATGAATCCTTAGCCTTCTGTCCAGTGATAAGGACAGAAGTATTATGTCACCAACATAATACTTGTCTCTCTTTGGATAAGAAAAGAAAATGATACCTAGACCTTTTTTTGTCTTAGCTGCATGTTGGTCAGTTCTCATCTTTGCTAGAAAATCTCTTTGAATCCAGTTCCTCTCCTAGGCTCACTCTTTTTCCCGGAGTTGAATCATTTGCTATAACCCAGGGCATCTCAACCTGGCCACATCAGACTCTCCAAGGCCCGGGCCCACTTCAGATCCACTCCCTCAGATGGTCTCTGGGAAGCATTTTAAGAAGAGTTCCCTAGCAGATGTGTGACCAGGTTAAAAAATACTGATAAAGTCTGAACCATAAACCAGTTTTTGAGAATAACTAGATAGCTGGCTGCATCAAATCTTGTCTACCTGGCACAGAGCAGCCTAGAGTCCTTGCAGAACCTGAGTGTGGTGTACTCTGTGCAAGAAAGAATTCAAGTTGCTGATGACCTTAAAATAGGGAGATTGGCCTAGGTTATCCAGGGGACCCCAATGTAATCATCAGGGTTGTCATGAGTAGAGGAGAAAGGCAGAAGGCGTGTTCAGGTGACACGAGGAAGGCCGGACTGGTGTTGATGGAAGGGGATCACGAGCCAAGGAATGTGGGTCAGCTCTGCAACCCCTTAATTTTATTTTTTATTTATTTAAAAAAATTTTTAAGATTTATTTTTTTACTTTTTTTTACTTTTTTTAAAGATTTATTTTATTTATTTATACCAGCACTGGGTACAGTCAGAAGCGCGGGAGGGTGAGAGAATTCACCAGAGCCAGAGCGGGGAACAGAACAAGCAGACTGACGAAATACACTGCTGAGGGGAGCAGCAGGCGGCAGGAGAGGTCTGCGCGCCATGCGGGACCCTCCTCCGGTGGCCGGGGAGCAGCCGGGGATTGAACCGGCGCTGCAGAGGCTGCAGGCAGCTTCGCAACCCAGCGCTCAACCGCTGCGCCACCAGGGGAGACCCAACCCCTTCATTTTAGACCCATGTTGACATCCAATCTCCAGAACTGTAAAATAATAACTGTTGCTTTCAGTCACTAAGTTTATTACAACATTAGAAAACTAATATATCCCTCTCCAACTTTTCCCATGTACAAAACATGGAAACAAATGGAAAAATAATGACTCCGCTGGGTTCATGTCAACTTACAGTCAGCTTAGCGAATGGCATCTTGTCAGCATCCGTCCAGTGGAATGTGACTACCAGACGAGAAGAGCTGGTTGTCTCTCAAGCGATAGAGTCAAGTCTTCTGCCATGGGTATGGCAGATGACGGGTTTTCTCTGAACTTGGAAATTTTAGTGACAAGGTCATTTGCAAGTATAAGAAGTTGAAAAGTTCCCTGTGGAAAAGGTGAAGTGTCCCGACTTTTTCAGGTATGAATTCATTCAGTCATTTACCATGAAAGGTTACTTATCAAATACTTTAGTTGTGTCTAGGCTCGCCATCAGAGAACTCTGCTCTTACGAATATAGTCGAAAATTGCAGGTCGATTCCTTAACCCCCCACCCCCGCCAAAGAAAGATGATGATGGTGAGAAGAATAACAATTGCCCTTAGAAAACAACAGTCACTGGTCCTCTCAACGTTTCTCAAGTTTTCCACACTTGGTCAGTTGCAGCTGAGATTCAGCTAAGACGGTGTTTTTTTTTAGAACATAGGTCATGGCAGTGCGGCAGGGCCTAATGAAGACCAATTAGCATCTACAGCTGTTTGTGCTTTTTTTTCAAGGCTAAGCTTCTGGTGCTTTATTTTTTTTTTTTTAAAGATTTATTTATTTTATACAAGAACCGGGGTACAGGCCAGATGCGCGGGAGGGTGAGAGGATTCACCAGAGACAGAGTGGGGAACAGAACAGGCAGCCTGACTAAAACACACTGCTGAGGGGAGCAGCAGGCGAGACAGGAGAGGTCTGCCGCACCATGTGGGAACCTCGCCGGCCGGCCAGCCGGGATCAAACCGGTGCTGCAGAGGCTGCGGACAGCTTCACAGCGCTGCACTCAACCGCCTGCACCACCAGGGGAGGCCCTGTTTGTGCTCTTAATGATATTTTCCAGACTTTACTGGTTATTTATTGGTTTTTACTTGCTTGCTTAAAGAATTTGATCACTGATGAGACTTTGGCGTTTGTGAACGGCTGGACTTTGTCTGAAAAGCAACCTAGTGGGAATCTTTTTTACCTAAAAGCTCCTGCTGAGCTTCTGGAGAAGTTGCTTAAACATGTCAATCCCAACAGGCAATGAGGCCTCCAATATGAGATGATTGTGTGTGTGTGGTTTGTACGTGTGTTAACATTTTTGATAGTGTACCTTTTTATCACAGGGGTTCTGTTGATTTACAAAGGCTAATTCTCTTTGGGGCAAATCTTGGAATTCTTCAACACATGAGTTTTATTTTGCCTGAGATCGGATTGTTTATCCCTTGAGAAGATTTCTGAGGTATCACAGAAGTCAAGAAAAAACTGGTAACTGTTACTGTAAATACAGCCTGTCAAGAATGTGTTTGAGCCGTGTGGCAAACCCAAGCTAGATGGTCTATGAATGATAGGTATTGTTTTTAAATGAATTCCCTTGCTGACTACAGGCCTGGCTTTATTTCTTCCAGAGTCTCAGCTAATGTTAGAACTTGTCACTTCAAAGCACTAAACCTCACCAGATGAAGTGAATGGAAGCTCCTAAATTCAGCTAGTGGGGGCATGAGCGCTTCTCAGAACCCGACATCTGCCTTAATTGCTGACATTTGGAATCCTGATGGAGGGCCTCCGCCCCCATCTATCTGTTTGCAGCTGAGTTTCCCCCAAGATAGTAAAGTGGTGGAGCTGGCCAATTTGTGGCATTTAGGCCCAGGTGAAAAGCATTCCGTCGGGAGGCCCTATAAGGAGGGTGGGTAGAAGCCGGAAGCCTGAGGAAGCTGCAGTGAGTCCTGCCACTGATGCCATGGGTTGTGGAGGCCCCTGAGGCCTGGAGGGACTCCCCACTCCGCGAAAGGTAAGCACGTTCTCGTGGTCACCCTCACCCAGGGACTATGCAGGCTGCCTCATGAATTCAGACCTTTACAGGCAATAGGCCACCTTAGAAACCACTTCCTTCAGCCACCTCATTTCTCTAAGGCAGACGCTGAGGCCAGAGGAGTAAAGCGGTTTGGCCAAAGTCACAACTCAGCAGTGGAACTTACAACTCAGGGTCCTGACTGGGCTCCCCACATGCCCTCCCCTGCAGATGGGTCTGCGCCTCACTAGCTTTAGAGTCAGGTTTGGGCCTTTGGCAACGGCCAGGCTTGGGCCCGGGCAGCGGGGTGCAGGGTTCCATCCTTCCGAGATGTTGGGGCCACAGCGGGGTGAGCCGGGCCAGCGGCTCGGCGGTCCCTCCCCCATGGAGGCGCCTCAAACACGACCACACAATAGCAGGCTTTGAAGGAAGCTGAGAAAGCAAAGTGCAATTCTGTATCCCTTTATTTAGAAACAAGTCGGGAATGCCGTATGTGGGAGCGGGAGCGGGTTGGGGCGGCGGGGAGGGGCGGGCTGATTCCAGTAGTTGGCATTCTTCAGCACCAGAGCAAAGGCTTGGGCACAAGGTCGTGCGTGACCCAGGCGAGTCGCCGTCATCTTGTCTTGTAGGTACAGCATAGTCTTAAGTAGTTATTGTCTTCTTATGGCTTTGTCCCGGGACACATCGCGGTGACACAAGAGAAAAGTCTAGAGAGAAGCTGAAAATGCCTCGCGAGCTCATTCTTTAAAAAAAAAAAAAAAAAAAAAACAACAAAACGGGTGGCCGAGCCCAGCACTGAGGGCCGGGAGCTGGGCTGTCTCCGGTTCACCGGCGGGCGTGAGGCCCTCTCGCCCCCGCCGAGGGTAACTCAGGGCTCCCGTGAGACCCGGCCACGGAGGGAGGACAGATCCCTGCTCTCCCCGGCCCCCCTCCGAGGACGGACCCGCAGGAACTGCAGCCTAAGGCATGAGCCAGAGCGCTGCCCCTCCCCCGACGCCCGGCTCTGCCCCCCCCAGAGCCCCTCAAAGGCAGGCCTGGGCCTCAGGGTCGTTGTTCTTGCAGTCCTCTGCCCGTCCGAGCTGGCACGCAGAGGCCGGCGGGCCAGGAGCCGCCCTGTCGGCCTGACTGCGCGGTCTCAACGCCCGCGTCCGAGCTGGTGGGAGGGTGGCGGCTGATGGCCGCATCCCCGGGGGGCCTGGTGGCTAAGGGAGAAGAGGGAACTGACAGGGACCTGACAGGCTGCATGGTGCCTTCTCGCCTTGTGTGCCTGGAAGGAAGCCTGCTTTCCTGCCCCTGGGAAGGTAACTCCCATCCGTCTGGACCATTTTCATCCCCCTTCATAAGCAGCCCTCTGCCGGGCTCCAAGCGGCTTTCTTCCCCTTGCAGGGCTGAGAATCCTGCCTTGCTTTTTACCTGCTCACCTCTCCGATCTCTTAAAGCACTTGGTGCATCTCTCACTTACTTCAGCCTTAGTGAACTCGCTCTTGACCCAGGCAACTGTGTGGCCCAGAGCAACCCCGTCTCTTCCTGGAGGTGGGAGGGAAGACAGGGCGACAGCAACAGCCAGGATGCACCAAAAAGTGGGTTGCAGAATCCCCTCATTCCTTCTCGGAAGTTCTCTAGTTTTAGCAAGGTAGGGAGGCATGGTTAGGGGGCGGAAGGAACATAGGTAAGATTTCCGTCCTAGCCGAGGATTCTTTTGGCTCATCCCTGGAATATTCCAGACATGGTCATTCCCCATCCTCGGTAGCTATGGTGGCACTGATCTGAGGCATCATGGAAGTGGCACCTGTCAGTGTAGAGTATAAGGCCTGCAAACTTATCAGCCTTAGACAGTAACCCCACATCATTTGATCCAGAGTGGATCAGGTAAAGGTGATCTGGGCCAGGCCATGGAGTAAGCACATGGAGTAAGTGAGGCCTTCCCAACAGTTCCCCTACAGAGAGTAAGGCCCTGAAATGCCTTGAGAAAGTAGATTTTCTTGAACCTCCTTTCTTCACTTCAAGCACCTCTTTTCTTCCCTGTCTCACAACCCTGCCTTGCCCAGCTACAAGTTGTCAGCCAACTGCAATGCTGGCATAAGTGCCCTGAATGCCCTGGCTACCTGATGGAGACCAAGTGGGCACCAGGGAAGAAATGGGGCCTGTGCTCTCTCAGGAGCAATGCTCCCAGCCTTGTCCACCAAATTTCTCCCACATGGTGTTGCTGCCAGCTCTCTGCCCCACAGAGGTGCTCAGCAGAATTCTGGAGAAAGTGCCAGAACAAGGGGTTCCATGCCAGCTAAGGGCTTCATGGTTATGCTTCCCAAAACACCACTCATCTCCAGCTGGGCAGAGAGGGAGGTCAACCCCAACACAAGGCGGGGAAAGACATCACCTGCCTTCATGGGTTGCCCCACTTGTTATTCAGAAGGCAGCTTCCCAAGGTCTCTGAAAAGGGGTGCTTCTGTCACAGATGCTGGGCTCTGCCCACAAATTTCTGGATTGAGCCTCTGTTCAGTCAGGCCTCTGGCCTTACAGAGACAACCAGGCAATGCTGCTTTTACCCAGGAGTGTGGTTCAACACCCTGACTCCACCTGCCTGTTTTCTAACTGAATAGGGCATAGTAACTTCAAATAACTGAGCAGGAATGCTTGATCTGCATGCCACTTGGCAGACCTACGGCGGTGCGGGTGGAGAACTACAATCCACTTAGACCAATCAGATGCGAACATCAGAGCTGGGGTTTGCACAGTGCTCTGGAAATCTCTTTGGAGCCTCCTTGCACCCATACATAGGAAGACCCTGAAAACAACATATTAATTTCTGGGTTGGGACAAGACAATTCTACGGAATCCAAGATGAGTTCTTGACAAAATGCCCAAGTCACAAGGGAACAAGATAGTTCTTTAGACCAAGGATTTCAGCGGGGTATTAGGGTGAGAGCAGGAGGAATAGATTATAAAATGCCACCTCCACATATTTGTATTGCATATGGTAGACACCCTGGATGGCATATTTGGGGCAACATAGAACAGACACGTGCAGGTAGCACCCCCTATTGGTACACTATGTGGGTTGGGACATCAAACTGTTACTTGAGGTCTACGAAATGTTAACTGGTCAGAGATGGATGGGAGAAGCCATTCTGTAAGAGCATCTGTAAGGAGAAGCTTCAGGAGACATTTGCCATCTGCTTAACTTGGAGTTAAAACAATGCCACTCCTGTTTTTATATCTATAGGGTTTTTCTTTGTTGCATGTCCCATAGATTAAGGTAATTTCTGGAAAACAATGGAGTCAACCAATGATGGAAGAAGTACAACCAGGAGCACGTGGGGCTATATGTGCCATTCTCCTTGACAGATCTGTCCTTGAATGAGAAGTTAAGGTTCACACAGGATGAACTTTTATATATCTGGCCTAAAGCAAGGCTTTGTCTATGCACCATATTCCTGTAACTGGAAAAATTGATGCGCTGCAACATTGGGTCTCAGTGGCTGAACTGAGAAGGTTGGATTTCGTCTTTAACTTGACTATTTCAGAAGCACTTGGCCACCTCTATTGGAAACAACTTTATTCTGGCAGAGCTTGGGTGGTAGGAGATAATGCGCAGGACCCTTACAGAGCCGGAAGTAGCAGGTTGAGGGAAGAGCTGTTTCCACAGGAGATGTACTTGATGGGGGTGGGTGTAAGGACCAAAGAAGAAGGTGTTCCCCTCATTGCAAGTCTCTCAGGGGTGTTCTTCTTTCCTTAGCAAGGTTAGAGTGATTCTAGATGATGCTAAGAAGGTTTGTATAGGTTGTCCGGCTGGAAAGCTCCATGCAGAGCTTAAGTCTTGGGCTGAGTGGAGACTGAGGGAGAGCTGGTCCCAAGGCCTTCCCTTAGAGCTCACGGTCTCCCTGCTGAGTTGACGCTCCTTGTGACTATGACCCTCCAAACACCACCCAGGCGTCCCTGCTCGCCCTCCCCTCTTCCCCAGCCTGTGTGGTGTGGCTCCTGTCATCTACCAGCAACCTTTACTTTTCATCCTCATCCCCCTCACTCATGCTGCTGATGGAGGCTGAGGCTGCTTTCGGTGAAGAGGGGGGTGAGGTTTTGATTGGGAGCCATGAGAAGGTGGGCGACGGGGAGCGGGAAGGGGACCGGCTCCTGGTGGGACTGCTCACAGGGCTTTGCTTCGGGGACAAGGCCTGCAGCATTCGGCTGCTCCTCTCCTGGAACATCTGTTTCTGAAGAGAAATGAGAGAGGCCTCTGTTACGTTAGCCTTCTGACGGCAGCACAACAAAAAGGAAAGGCGGGAGGGAGAGCCGCTATCCCAAAATGCCTGCACCCGAAAACACAGACTCTACTGCATTCCTTGCTGTCCAGGACTGCCTGTGGGGAGGAGCTGAGCACAAGTCAGGGGCAATGAGATGCCAACATACAAGACTGCGCCTTCTGGCCATCCTTCCTGCATCCAGGAAGGATAGAGTATGTATTACTTGCTAGGCAAATGGTAATATTCAGGGTAGCAGAAGGGTAACTCGTTCTGCTAAAAAAAAAAAAAAAATCCTCAGGCTTGTGGCCATGAGGAGTCGCACCATAAAACAAGATGTGGAATGTCAGATGGAGCTATGGTCTGTGAGAAAAGTAAAATGAAAGATGACAAGGTGGGGTGGAGGACAGGTGGGCTACATGTGAAAATAGGGCGCTCAGGGGAAGGCCTTGCTGAGGAGATGCTATTTGCACAAACAGCTGAAAGAGATGAACGAACACCAGGGCCGCGCACTCCAGAAAGGCCACGGAGGAAGGGAGCACCCAAGGAGGCCACTGTGGCTGGAGTGAGTGACCGGGTGAGGAGGGACATGGGAGAGGGTAGGAGGAGGCTACCGCAGGACTAACGGAGGCCTGTGTCATGCAGGGTCTGGGCGGCCCTGTGAGAACGCTGACTTTTACTCTGAGAAACCTCTGGAGAGTTCCTTTAAGTGTGCAGTTCTGAGCAAAAATGTAACAAACTCCGACTTCGGTTTTTAAAGGATCACTGTGGTAGTTATGCTGGGAAAAGACTACAGGGAAGCAAGGGCAGGAGTGAGGCGAACAGTGATGAGCTGGCTGAGATAGAGCTGGTGTCCGAGCTGAAGACCGAGCTGGTGTCCTGGACCGCAGGGATGACGTGAGAGCGGAGAGCAATGGCTGGGTCTGGTGTACTTCCCCCACATTTTTATTGACTTATACATCAAGCCCTTTTTAGTGTGCAGTTGTGACAGATTGTGTGACCACCACCATAACAGGTATAGGAGAGGCCCAGCCACCACCCAATTCCCTGGGGCCCTTTGAAATCACCCCTTTCCCACGATGGCAACAGATCTGTCTTCTATCCCTCTAGTTTTGCCGTTTCCGGAATGTTCTCCAAATGGACTACTGTGGTCTGGCTACCTCAGGAGGTAGAGCCAATAGGACTCGGAACAGATGATGGGGAAGGGCGGGGATGGGGGTGGGGGTAGAAGAGGTTCGGGTAGAGAAATGGGTTTTCCAAAAATGGCTTTTCAGGTGACGAATGCCCAGTGATTTCCAAACTGAGTCCTTCACTGTCCTGTCTTTTGGGGAGAGCAATCCTGGTGCTGCCAGCCCATCTGATCGCCTGCCCTGGCATCCACCTCAGGCCCCAACCCAATGCTCCGCCCCGCCCACTTCTGAGTGTCCTGCCCTCACTTCTCTCCATTGCTCGCTGCTGCCGGGCCTCAGCCCCCAGCTCAGTCTCACCTTTTGATCCTAAAATGGTTCTGAGAGTCAACTCTCCATGAACCAGTTTAGATTTGTCATTTGAATTAATCATTTTACGAAGCACACCTGGGGCCTCTGGGGACCAAGTGCTGTATAGGAGGAAGGGGAAGAGGATAAAGTCAGTGGTCGTGGCTCCTGGGCCTTCTATGATGGCAGGAAGGTGGTGAGACAGGCTTGGCAGAGAGCAGCTTCTGAGCAGGGGGTACTAGTACTGTGCCTGCTGCCCTCTGCCCAGAAGCTGGCTCTGCTAAGTGCTACTCAGCAGACAGTACTCAGTAGAGCTGTTTGGCCTGACTGGGAACCTGGGTGCCTGTGGAGTGGCAGCAGCTGGTGCTGAGTACCAGGAGGAGGTGAGATTTTTCTCCCTGACAGTCTTGGGAAAGACTTTTATCAAGTGTCACAATTGTGGTCCTTGGGTATGAGCATAAAAGTAAAGAAAGCATAAGGAAAAGGGTGAGGGTTGACTATATAAAAGTTTAAAGCTTCTGTATCGCAAGCCAACATGAAGGTGGATGGCAATGAGAACAAAAGGGGCGTGAACATTTAACCTCAAGTTACGATCTTGGTATCACACAGGGCTTACGAATCAAAAAGAACACAAAACTTCCATAGAAAACCGAGCGTGTGGTATATACAGGCAATTCACAAACAAGTTATAAATGAACTATAAAATAATGCTTGGCATCATCAGTCATCAAACAAATGAAAAGGGAAGTGGGAACCTTTTTAACCTATCAGGCAGCTAAAATTTTACCTTCCCAACTCAAAAATTTCCCAGCCTGACGTTGACCTAGAGCACAGTATGAGACAGAGGTGTCAAGCACAAGGACTTGACTTGCACATATTCTGGAATATTTGTGCAACAAGAGAACAGCCATCATGCCATATAGAGATTTTTCCTTGTGATGAGGACTCTTAGGATCTACACTCAACTCCTATACATGTATATGAGTAACCGTGTGAACTGTCATCATGACATAAGTCACGTTCCAAAGAAGTATATTTATCTTACAATTGAAAGTTGGACCTTTGGACCAACTTCATCCAGTCCCACCCTCCACCCCCCCACCGCCACCTCCATCTCTGGTCATCACAAATCTTTTTTTTTTTTTTCCCCCAGATTCCACATATAAGTGAGATCATACCTCCTTTCTCTTTCTGACTTATTTCACTTCGCATCATTCCCTCAAAGTCCATCCATGTTGTCACAAATGACATGTTCTTTCTCCATTCTTTCATCAACAGACACTCCAGTGCTTTCCATGTCTTGGCTATTATAAATAACACTGCCATGAACATGGCGATGCAGCTCTCTTCAATATCATTTTTTAATTTCCTTTGGACCTATTCCCGGTAGTGGAATGTTGGATCATGGGGTAGTTTTATTTGTAACTTTTTGAGGAATCTCCATGCTGTTTTCTGTAGTGGCTGTGCCAGTTTACCTCACAGCACAGTGCACAAGGGTTTCTGATTCTCCATGTCCTAAACAAGCATTGTTGTCTCTTGTCTTTTTGATGCTGGTCATTCTAACAAGCATGAAGTGATAATATGGTTTTGATTTGTGTTTCCCTGATTAGTGTTATTGAGTATCTTTTCATGTACCCATGGGTCATATTACTTCTGTAGAAAAGTGTCTACAGAGATACTCTGCCCACATTTAAGCTGGATTATTGTATAAGTACTTGATATGTTTTGGATATTAACCCCCTATCAGATACATGGTTTGCAAACAATCTCTTCATTATAAAGGTTTTGTGTTTGTTTTCTTGATTATTTCTTTCTCTGCAGATTTTTTTTTTATTATAGTTTGATGTAGTCCCACTAGACTTGCCTGTGCTTTAAGTATCACATATAAAAGAATCATGGCCAAGACACATGCCAAGGAGTTGTTCTCCTAATGTTATATCTTACGGTTTCTGTCCTTACATTTAGTCCTTAATCCCATTGCAGTTATCTGTGAGTGGTATAAGATAGGGGTCAACTTTTATAATCTTTTTTTAAAATTTTTAAAAAGTTTTTTTTTTAAAGATTTATTTATTTACACAAGAACTGGGGTACAGGCCAGAGGTGTGGGAGGCTGAGAGGATTCACCAGAGACAGAGCAGGGAACAGAACAGGCAGACTGACAAAATACACTGCTGTGGGGAGCAGCGGGCATGACATGAGAGGTCTGCCATACCGTGTGGGAATCTCCCTGGCCGGCCGGGAATCGAACCTGCGCTGCAGAGGCTGTGGACAGCTTCACAGCACAGCTCAACCTGTTGTGCCACCAGGAGGCCCAACTTTCAATCTTTTACATATAAATTACACCACAACCATTTGTTGGAGAGACTCTTTTCTCCAGTGAGTACTCTTGACTCCCTTGTCAAATATGAATTGAATGTATATGCATGGGTTAATTTCTGGGATCTCAAGAATGTTCCATTGTTTGTTTTTATGCTAGTACCATGCTGTTTTAATTACTATTGCTTTATAACTAGAAATCAAGAAATGTGGTGACTCTCATTTTGTTTTCAGGATTGGTTGACTATTTGGGGTATTTTGTGGTTCCATATATAGTTTAGGATTTTTCTATTCCTATAAAAAATGCCTTTGGAATCTTGATAGGGATTGCTTTGAATATATAGATGCCTTTGGGTAGTACTGACATTTTAACAATACTAATTCTTCCAATTCATGATCATGGGATGTTTTTCCATTTATTTAAAATTTATTTTTATTTATGCATACAAAAACTGAGGTGTATACCAGAGGTGCGGGTGATGAGAAGATTCACCGGAGACAGAGCAGGGAGTAGAACAGGCAGATCTAGTGTAATACAGTGTTGAGGGGAGCAGTGGGTGAGACAGGAGAGGTCTGCTGTACCATGTGGGCCAGGGATCAAACGCATGCCCCAGTGGCTGGTGATAGCTTGATAGTGCTGAGACTTTAACCCCTACACCATCAGGGAGGGCCTCTATTTCTTTTGTCTTCAATTTCTTTTATAAGTGTCTGACAACTTTCAGTATAGAGATCTCTTTTTGGTTAAATTTATTCCTAAGCATTGTATTGTTTTTTTTTTTTTTTAAGATTTATTTTTATTTATACAAGAACTGGGGTACAGGCCAGAAGCGTGGGGGGGGGGTGAGAGAATTCACCAGAGAGAGCGGGGAGCAGAGCAGGCAGATGGACCAAAGACACTGCTGAGGGGAGCAGCAGGCAAGGTAGGAGAGGTCTGCTGCACCATGTGGGTATCTCCCTGGCTGGCCGGGAATCAAACCTGCGCTGCAGAGGCTGAGGACAGCCTCACAGCGTAGCGCTCAACCCTCTGCGCCATCGGGGAGGCCCCTGTGTTGTTTCTTAATACTGTTGTAAATGGAAGCATTTTATTTTTTCCAGACAATTAGTAGAAAAACAACTAATTTCTGACTGCAAATTTTGTATCCTGCAACTATCAGAGTATGTTGAGTAGATCTGTTTTTGGCT